CTTATTTTGCAATTATAATAAATCATTAGCTCGAATCAGTGATTACGCGTCGCGTTCTGCATTCTAATGATTCTTAATAAAAACTCTTTATATGTTTCCGGAATAAGAGATTCATGTAATCGTGCGCGAGGAATGTTTGATTGGAAAATGATACTTTCAACGATCTCTAAACGAGTTCACGGGAGCATTAGATTACTCTGAGCTTGGAGCGTTTTCCGTGTTGGAGGAAAATTGAAATTTGCTTCGTTTCGGGGCCAGTGTCCGACAATTGCTTGATGCGCAATGATAGATTAAAGCTTCTCAAGTTTTTTTTGTAATTCTCCGCCGCGAAGTTCTCCTTCGAAGCGGCTCGAAGGTGATTCGAAATTCGCGAAGCTTGCCTCGACTTCAAAAGTCCCACCTACACGGTTATAAATAAAGTAGACAGATGTATTTTTATTCCGCGTATAATAGCGCCTACGTTGCGCGAGGCTCGCTGGATTCGGGGAGGTAAAAGCCTCGAATCGCCGGCGTTTTTTCGTTTGTTACTTCATTGCGACAATGGACACGCACTGTTATTTAGTATCGTCGTTGTTTAATTGGCGGAGGCAGCGTTCAGCCGTTTCCTTCGTGCGTAATACTTAATTGACGCTTTCACTAGGCTCTTGTGATCCTAGTCCCGGACAGCGGATCACAAACTGCGAAACGATCCATGCGTTTCGTAGCACTAGAAATTAACACTAGAACTACCGAGCATTTAAACCAACTTGTCTTTTTGTTCCTTCATATGTTTTATTATAGTATTCAAGTGAAACTATTTAATTTCAAAATCATTTCGGATATCGAAGTCTTTTTAGATATCAATAATTGCGCGAAATAAGAAAACTAGAACCTGCCGCTGTAGTTCTGGCGTTAATAATTTCTCAAATGAGTATCTACTTTGAGAAGTAATAATAAAGGAGTAATAAAGTGAACTGTTACTTTCTTCAGTAATCGTTAAAGAAGAAATTAAAGACCGACAATTTCGACCTCTTTTATATTTCAAGCTCGTATTACATTTTTAGAATGTAATCAAAGCATAAAAACACCGCGTGCCAATGAGAATCATCGAGCGGCGTTTGGATCTCGAACGAGAATGTTTTGCGTGTAGTCGCTTAATGAAATCGTAATCCCGATACAATGTTGGTTCTCCTCTTTCTTTTTCTTTTTCAGAAACGGAGAGGCGAATTCGCGCCAATAATCGCGAGTTCAACTCACAGTTTAATTATGCGGTAAGACAAAAGCTACACGCCCGCCGCGGGTTCCGTTTAGCGCGTTAATTAAGCGCAGTTCTCGATGACAACGAACGCAACCCCGTCTCTTTCTGCATTTTAGAACAACTACATCAAGACGTCCAAGTATTCGGTTCTGTCGTTCCTACCATTAAATTTATTCGAGCAATTTCAACGGCTCGCCAACTTTTACTTCCTATGCCTGCTGGTGCTTCAGATGATCCCCGCGATCTCCTCTCTGACCCCCATCACTACAGCCATACCCCTTATAGGGGTGCTCATGCTCACTGCCATCAAAGATGCTTACGACGATTTTGTGAGTATGCGAAATAACCGAGTATTGACTTTTCCGTTGAAGAAGGGGTGATTTCTCGTTGATCCTTCCCGACGATGAGAACCTTCGTGTTCGTCGAGATTTTCTTTGTTTTCGAGTCACGTATTTGTACGAAAGAACTGAAAAGAGTAGAAAAGTAGAAAGAGATATTGTGCAGATAATTGGATCGAAGCTTGTTGGATCTGCTAGAAAATAATTTGCTATTTGCGTTAATAAATTCATAACACTGACTCGAAACGTTTTACGGATATAATAAGTTATGGCTCTGCTGCATTGCAGAGAAGAATATAAATACACTACACGAAACAAGTAGATTGTACATATTATTCTAAATTGGTCTAAAAATCTTTTCGTTGTTCTCAACGTGTTGCATGGAACTTATCTTTCTTGGATGAGAAAATATTATTTTTGTTTCCGTTACGTAAAAACGAATACAGGAATTCAACGGTACGTGACGCAGGAATGGTTAAGCATAATGAGAATCTGATAGGTAAAAAATTATGTAAACGCTAAAGGTCACCTAGACGCTACACCCACCACTTAGCGTTAGATTACTTCATCAGTCCATCTACAGTAATTCTCCGTGTATCAGAAACAACTCACGGTAAGCTATTCCTAAACACGTGCGGATGCCATATCTCAGAAGTAGAAACTTGATTTGATCAATTACTGAATTGATCCGATTATAACACTGAATTAGGAATTCATGTCCCAAGGAGATCTTTTATCTTGATCGTAACACGATCTCGCTTTTCACTCAATGTACATATCATTTTTGACCTTGTATCAGTTCAAGTATTACTAATTCATTGCTACTGTAAAACCGTATTATACGACGGATGATGAAAATAAAGGTGACCTTCGTAACCCGAAGCAAATAATAAATGGTTTTTGGGTGAAACGAAAGGTGCAATGAAACCAGAATAACATTCATCCTAAAAGAGTGAATGGAATATATTGAAGATCTACTGTCAAATGAGAAATCACCCCTTTCGATTGTTGAACCGTATCGCGATCAAAGAAATATCGTTACAGAAGTTATTCACGACACTTATTAATCTATGAAATGAATTTTAGCAACGGCATAGCAGTGACTCACAAGTGAACAATCGGAAATCACAGACTCTTCGGGGTACCAGTCTCCGAGAAGAGAAGTGGTCGCAAGTCCAAGTAGGAGATGTAATCAGAATGGAGAACGATCAGTTCGTTGCTGCCGACGTCCTTCTTTTATGTACTAGTGAGCCAAACGGTCTCTGTTACATTGAAACTGCGGAACTAGATGGGTTAGTATTTGATAAGAGAATGTGCCGGTGAATCGATGCGAACGATTAAGAGGAATAGAGAATTCATAAGACTGTGGATTGTTTCAGGGAAACGAATTTGAAGTGTCGGCAGTGTTTAGCCGAGACTGCCGAAATGATGGACAACCACGAAATGATTGGTCAATTTGACGGGGAGATTGTTTGCGAAACACCTAACAATTTGCTAAATAAATTTGATGGTACTCTTACGTGGAGAGGACGAAAGTAAGTAACTCTTCTACAA